ACCAATCCCCAGACAGATTTTTGCCCCAGATCCCTAAATGGTTCCCTTAAGGGCTGAACTCACAACCCTGGGTTTAGGAGGCCAATGGTCAAACCACTGAGCTATCCCTCTGCCCATATACACCACCGAGATCCAGAGTTAGGAACAGAATGCACAGGGTGGCTGCTTGACACCAGGAATTGGCAGGGGGGAACACAGTTACAACAGGCTGCATGAAGTTAGGTGCTGTGATGGGAGGGTCATGCCCAAATCTCTTTCCCCCCCCCACCCCTGCTTCTCCCTCTCCCCTCCCAGAGCGGAGAATAGAACACAGGTGGCCTGGCCCCTAGTGTTCTAGTTTCCAATCCTGGATGTGGAAGGGGAGTAGAAATCCTGACTCCCAGCCCTCAGCTCTAACCACTAGACCCAACTGCCTCCATATAAACACCACCCCAACAATGAGTAGTGAAGGCAGCATATTTTAGACAGAAACTGACAATTTTTCAAAATTGCCATATTTTGAAGAGATCTCAGTTTGTGACACTGTTTCCCAGGAAACACTCCGGCTCTGATGCTGCACTCTATAACATGCTAGAGGACTCGATGGGAAGTGCTGGGCATGGCAGGATCAGGGGCAATCTCCCAGATATTGTTTATATTCCTTTCAAAACACTTTTAGAAGGGTTTTTCTTCCTAACCCCATGTTGATGCTTATAAAGGGATTTTTTCAGCAATGAAGAATTTGACTATGGAGAGTTAAGAGTGAAACTTCATTGAGCTGTCAAATGCACATAGTGAACAATCTGGGAAGAAAAGAAAAAAAATACGTATATTAGTTTGATTCAATTCCTTCAGTTCTAGTCATCTTGGGCATTACTTTTAACTACTATAGGTCCAAAAGGCGCAAGGTCACACAGCTAAGAGAGCAGGTGAACTGTTTAAGATGGGTATTGTATTGTGGAAAGCAGCAACTCTGAAAAGGACATAGGGTTCATGGTAGATAACCAGTTGAACATGAGCTTCCAGTGTGACGCTGTAGCTAAAAGGGTGAATGTAATCCTTGGATGGATAAGCAGGAGTATCTCAAGCAGGAGCTGGGATGGGCTATATACAGAGGTAATAGCATTACTGGATACTGTGTCCCGTTCAGATGGCCACACTTCAAAAAGGAAGCTGAAAAATTGGAAAGAGAGCTACAAGAATGGTTTGAGGTCTGGAAGACTTGCCTGACAGTGAGTGCAATCTATGTCGCTTATACAGGAGAAGGTTAAAAGGTGACTGGACCATGCTACATGAGGAGAAGATTCTTGACAGCAGAGGGCTCATTAATGTAGCAGATAAAGCTAGAAGGTGATCCAACAGCCGGAAGCTGGATATTCAGGCTAGAAATGAGTCTGGAAATGAGTCTTTAAATCAAGATTAGACATCTCTTTCTAAAAGCTACACTCTAGCTCAACCACCAGATCTGGGCTGGATGCAGGAATGGCTGTGACGGATTCTCAGGCTTGGGTGATGCTGGAGGTCAGAATGGATGGCCAGGCCTTGGAATCCAGATCACTGCGTTCAGTTTTGGACACCCCAGCTCAACAAGGATGTACCAGAATTTGAGGGGGGGTTCAGAGATAGGTTAGCAATAGGCACCTGGGGCGGAAAAAAAACTCTCCTGGGAAGAGATGAAATGACTGGGATTGTTTGTCTTACAGAGAAGATGAAGAAAATGTTACACGATAAAAGTATATAAAAGAATGACTGGGATAGAGAATGGGGATGGGAACCTCTGTTCTCCATGTCTCGTAGCACAAGAGCAATGGGAATTTCAGAGAAACTTCAAAACAGATCAAAGGACATTCTTTTTCACGTAATACACCATCAGCCTCTGGAACTCATTGACACTTGACACAGCTGAGTGCAGGATCCCAAAAGAGACTGGGGGTTTATAAGGATAATGACACTGTCCAGGGTCAACAGAAAAAAGAACAGGAGTTTTGGAATCCTCCCATCCTCTAAATATTGGGGGAATCCACCCCGAATCAGGTTATTCCACTGCGAAGTAAGAGATTTTACACCTCTGCTCGTGGAATTTTTCCTATGCTTGTGGAATTGTTTAAGTGGGAAGGCTGTGAAGAGTATAAAATAAAAATACCCTCTGCAAGTTAGTTACAGATTTAGGTCAATGCCCCACAGGATTCTATTGGATCTGACAGGAGAAATCTTCGCAGAACTTGGGAGGGTGGCAATATAGACATATAAGAGGTTAGCATGTTAATACAGGAGTATGTCTGGAAAAACACATGCTGTTTGGATTTCACTGGAATAAGACATTTTTCATGCTAGAGCTTGGTTTTGTCCCAACTCTGGCAGCACTTCACTACAGCCAACATTTTCTGTGTGTCTATGTCATTCATTATAAATCATAATTAATACACAAATAGTGTGATTAATTATATATTGATAAAAGAGGGCCCTGGGAGTCAGAACTCCTGAGTTCTATTCCTGGCTCTGGGAGAGGAGTGAAAAGTAATCTTTAGAGGAGAAGGGGCTTTGTACTGCCGTCCATAACTGTAGCATCGGAGGCATGGAATCAGGACTTGTTGGTTCTCTTGCCAGTTCTGACAGGGGAGTATGGCCTTCAAAAATCTCTGAACCTACTGGAAAGATCAGAGGAGTAGGAGTCAAGACTCGAAGATTCTGTCCCTAGTTCTGCCATTTGACATGTGACTATGGACAAATTTCTTTCCCTCCCTGTGCCTCAATTTCTCCATCTATAAAATAAGAATAATACTAGTGACCTGCCTGGGATTGAGGCTTCATGGAGCTTTGAGATCCCTGGATGGGATGTACAAGGCATTACTATCTACATCTTTTTTATTATTCACTATTTGTATCATGATAGGGCCTAGATTGATCACAGATCAGGGGTCCATTGTGCCAGACAACAGACAGACCCATACCAGGATCAGGGAGTCTCCCCACTGTGCCAGGCACTGCACGATGAGAGACAATCCCTGCTCAAAAGAGCTCACAGTCCAAGTATATGATGAGAGATAATAAGTGAGTAGGAAGAAAGGTGCACAAGGAATCATCTGTGTTTATAGGTACCAAGGACCACTCAGAGGCTAGTGCATCCCTGCAGCACACATTCTCACCCAGGCCAACTCTGGTTCTCAATACAGTTCTACAGTTACATGAGATCATTCTGATTCTGGGGCAGTGCCCTGGGTATTACCCAGTGTCTCCTCCGCCCAGTGTGTGACTAGCCCCTGCCTTCAAATGCTGCCCTGGGGTCCTCGATCATAACCTAAAGTGGGGGTGGTTATCCCACACACTTGGGGCACCCCATGCGATCAGGAGATGGGAAGGCAGCTCCAAAATGACAGGCCAACATTTCCTTCCCTAGGGAGCCTAAGACTCAAACCTAGAGAATGCCAAGGTCTCGAGATGACCAACCACCCTCACAGTCTGGGTTCAAGGCCTCTACAAGGAAAGAGGGGCACAGCTCCACGTGGTTACTGCCCCATCACACTCCCCGTTCCATCTTCCATAAATATCCCAACCTTATCCCTCTTCCAACTAGGGCCCCCTATTGGCCCCTCCTTCAATCCTCCTCATTGGGCCCATCTCTCCCTCCACCCCATCTCTTCATTGGCCCCAACCCTATATCCTCCTTAGGATCCCTCCCTTTCCACAGGAAGCACCATATCCCCACATGTCCCACCCCCTCTTCTCCAGCTATCCCACATCGTACTCATATACCCTCTAGCCCCGCCCCTTTAAGCCACACCCTCTTCCAGTTAGCCCCGCCCCTCACTTACGCCATTCATCTTCGTTGTCCTGGTTGCGACGCAACACGGGCAGGCGGCAGCCCTCGGTTACCTCCCCCTGCGGGCGGGATGCAAAGCGGTTAGCGGGGACTCCCGGGAATCCCGCCCCCACCCTGCCGGACACCACCCTCCAGACCCCACTCACCACCTCCGCCATCTTGGATGCTCGCCGGGGAGCGCGGCCTTCTCTTCCGTTCCCCGCGCCGGGACACTTCCGGGATCGCGTAGGGTCCCTTCCGATCTGTCATAGTTACTTCCGGCCCACTCAACATCAGCTTCGGTAGCGTTTGGCTCTGGCCCTGTTCAGAATTACTTCCGGGAGTATGAATGACTCCTTCCGGTCCCGGCTAGGCCCCAGTCCGGGGCTGTTCACGGCGCTCGCCTGGCTTGGAAAGGGAATCTGAGGAGCCGGCGGGGCCAGTGTTAGGGAGCGAGGCGTAAATGGCAGCAGCGGGGGATTGACCCAGGCACCTGGGCAGCTAGCTGGACTCATGGGAGGAAGTCATATGACACCACGAGGCCAGTTGAGGGCCCGGCAGCGTGTGTCGAGGGGTCCCCGAGGTTCGGCTCCTCACCCTCCCCTGGTTCTAAAACCTCAACCCCGGGAGAGGGGGAGCCGCGTGAAACGTGTCCCTGGAGCCCCCGAGCCCGACACCGCAACCAGCCAGCCTGGGCCCACTGCGACCTGACTTGAAGCCACAGAGACTCGTCTCAGGGGCTGGGAGCCAGGGATCAGGAGTTCAAGCTTCGCCCATTGTTTGCTGCTAATATTTCCATCCGCTTCCCAGCCCTCTAGCTAGGGGAGGTGACTAGCATCATTTCTATTGTACAGGTAGGAAGCTAGGGGCACTTAAAGCGAAGCTGGGAATAGAGCCCATCTCTCTAAGGTGGTGTGGCAGCGTCTCCCTCCATAGCACTTACGGTGGCACCACTTGCCTTGCCTCAGTTTCCCCAGGGTTCTTTAATCCCCTTTTTTGGGGCTTTCCAGGTCTGTCTTTTAATCACCCTTTTATTAGGAGTTCAGCCTCAGAGAGGCTGTTGACAGGCAATCTTTTATCTCAGCATGCCCAGGACCAGGGGCCCATTATGCAAGGTACTGTACAAACACAAAACCTACCTCACGATCTATAAATCAAGAAATGACAGATGGATACAGCCAGACAGGAACAATGAGACAATCCTGGTCTGCATGCTGGGCATTGCGTTCACAACACCAACAGCCTAAACATCATGCTTTTTGTAGGCATTGTGACATAGTGGGGATTTTCCCTTGTTATGTTGTATGTGAGCCTATGTGACTCTTACTGTTTTGCATGAATGGTCTGTGTGCTTCAGTTTCCCTGTGTATTGCACCAATGTCTAGGTTGCGGGAATAAGGGTGTGTGACTTTTGTGGGAGTTGCTCCAGCTGCCTGCACGGATGCTATGGCCGCCCCTTTGTAACTTGAGAACCAGAAGGGGGATGTGATCAGGTGACTCTTGGCCCAGGAAGTGAGACAAAGGCCAGAGGAGGAACAACGGGCAGGGCAGGGCAGGGGCCAGGCAGCTGGAAGCGAGTCAGTCTCGGCTGGCTTAGGGCACAGAGGGAGGACCAGAGCCCTGGCTCTGGGCTCCCCTCCTCCCAAGATGGACTTCGCTGAAAGTCACTGATTTCTGTGCTAACAAGTTCTGTCCCACGCTGTGTTCCTGTCGACTAATAAACCTTCTGTTTTACCGGCTGGCCGAGAGTCACATCTGACTGCGGAGTTGGGGTGCAGGGCCCTCTGGCTTCCCCAGGAACCCTGTCCAGGTGGACTCGCTGCGGGAAGCACACGGTGTGGAAGGGGATGCTGAATGCTCCGAGGTCAGACCCAGGAAGGTCGAAGCTGTGTAAGCTTCTTGTCCTGGTGACAATATGCTCAGAGAGAGGAGGCTCCCCCAGAGTCCTGGCTGGCTTCATACGGAGTAGTTCCAGAGCATCGCCCCGGTGACTCCGTGACAGGCATTCCAACAAAGGATAGTTTGAAGGAGGACAATGAGATGGCTCTGCGGGTATTTACAGCGAGCTCCTCACAAACATAAGTGATAGCATGGGAGAAAGGATGAAGGGGCTGTTGACAAATGTAACAAGTGAGCAGTGGATGCTGCCAGTACAGTCTGATTGGGGATGGGAATTGGCTTCTTTATACTAAATGAGAGATCACAAGTGCTGGAACTAGGGGTGCTGCTGCATCCCCTGGCTTGAAGTGGCTTCCATTATGTACAGGGTTTACAATTTGGCTCAATGGCTCTCAGCACCTCTACTATACAAATTGTTCCAGCACCCCTGTGAGAGATTATAGGTCAGGTGGGGATTGGCCATGGAGGGCCTTGAAAGGGAAGAGAAGCAGCTTATGACTGATCTAGGAGAGAAGGGAAGACCAATTAAGGGAAGCACAGAGAGGGGTGACACAGTCAAAGTAATGGCCTAGGAGAATGATCTTTGCACCAGCAAAGGAACTTACAACAAGGAGTGATCTTCCTGAGAGACTTCTGGGGGAAGAGGTAAGGTGATGTGGCTGTGTCCTCCTTAAGGGAGGTTGGTGTGAGTGAGTTTATTTGCTAATGGTGCCCATGGTGTCCTAGAGACAGGGAACAGAATAGTATCTCTGCCAGAAACAGCCTTGAGGGTTCACCTCTGAGGTCCGAAGTCCCAAGAGGCGACTGTAGGGCCATCAAACATTGACTCAGCCATTTACTGCTGTGGGCATTTGGCCTAAAAACCCATTGGGGAGGCCACAGCAGCTGCGCTAAGACTCCTATCCTTCCTGGTTCCTTTGTGGCCTTGTCACATCCTATATGGCATGTACAGCCCCCTATATAATTTTGTAACACCCCACAGTGGTCCCTGTCCCTGTATAATGCAGTAGTGCCTCACCCTAGTCCCAATCACATCTCATGAACTGGTCCCTATATGGCCCCATAATGATCCACTGTAGTTCCTAAAAAGAACAGGAGTACTTGTGGCACCTTAGAGACTAACAAATTTATTAGAGCATAAGCTTTCGTGGGCTACAACCCACATGCATCCGAAGAAGTGGGTTGTAGCCCACGAAAGCTTATGCTCTAATAAATTTGTTAGTCTCTAAGGTGCCACAAGTACTCCTGTTCTTTTTGCGGATACAGACTAACAAGGCTGCTACTCTGAAACCTGTAGTTCCTAAATAACCCCAGAGCACTCGTTGGCCAGGTCCTTATACTAGCCCATAAAATCCCAGTCCCTGTAATGCTTCTCCCTCTACCCTATGTGGTTTGTAACACCCTGCCCTGGTGCCCATATGGACCCATTCTGCCCCATGTGTGGGTCCTATATAACAGGGGATCTCAACCTTTTTCTTTTGGAGCCCCCTGCTATATAAACTCCATGGCCCAGCTGTGCCGTCACAACTGGTTTTCTGCATATAAAAGCCAGAGTGACATTAGTGGGTAGAAAGCTGGGCAACTGCCTGGGGCCCCATGCCAGCTAAGTTGTTCAGGCTTCAACTTTAGCCCCAGGTGGCAGAGCTCAGGGCCCGGGGCTCCAGGTCTGCACAGCAGGGCTTTGGCTTTCTGCCCTGGGCTCCAGTGAGTCTAACGCTGACCCCTGGTTGAAAACTGCTGCTATATAATGCCCCAGCCTAAATGCTGCACCCTAGTGCCTATATAGCCTAATAGTGTCCCACACGCAAGTCCGTATGGTCCCCTGTGGCCCTATGACGCCTTGCCCTGGTACTTGCCGCCTCTCCCTGTTTTTCGTCCTCGCCTTCGCTGGTGTGGAATTCGCCCCTGCTCCATCCCTCGCTTCCGCGCCTGCGTAGAATCCCCCGCTTATTTGCATGGTGGGCGGGGCTTTCCCAGCAGCGGGGCGGATCACGTGCCGCGGGCATTTCCGCGTGCGGCGTAGTTTGTGAACGGATACAGCGGCGGCACCTGGACCCGATCCCGCCGGAGGCCCCCGCCTGGACCACGCCCCCGGCCCCGCCCCTGCCTCGGACCCCCGATTGGAGCCGGAGCCCCCGTCCGCCTCGGAGCCCTTCGAGGGGCTGGACCCGCCCTAGCTGGGCTCCCTCTCGGACAGACTCCCCGGGGCATACCACCTGCACCCCCTCCCGATTGGGGCTGGGACCCGCCATAGGGGTCGGGACTCCGCAGGAGTCAGAATCCCCCCCGTTCCCTATCAGAATCCTCCCCAGTGGGGGCCCCACCCCAAAGAGGCCCCCATCCCCTTGGCGCCTACATCCCCCTCTCGGGGTGGGACCAGCTGTTGTACTGAGACACCCCCGACCCCGCACACGCTCTTATTGTGGACTGGAGTCCATCTCCTGAGCCCCCACGCAGGGGCCAGTCCTAGCCTGCGGAGCCCCCCCCCCCCCAGCCTAGTATCCCCTGGATTCTTCTGGTTCCCAAACTGGGAGCCCCCCTCCTTGACTCCCTCCAGCCAGGGAGCCCCTACCCCCGTACCTCCTTGATTCCCAGCCTGGGACCTAGCCTGACTTCTGGCAGAAATGGATGGTAAGTGTGTACTCCCAATCCAGCAATATGGACTTTCCCCCAAATCCAGAACCCCCATTTATCTCTGGGGTGTCTCTACTCCCCTCACCCCCATCTCTGGGTGTGTGTGTGTAATATGGGAGTCGCTGGGACAGGTGGGTGTGTGGAAGCAGCTGAGTTCATAGGGATGTGTGGGGGGGAAGCCCCCCATTATTGGAGTGCTGGTTATGAATATGGGGGGCTTGGAGAGCAGCTGGGATTCCCCAGGAGCTTGGGTTTCCCCCTGCTTTGTACCATCTCCCACCGCCCATTATTTCCCCAGCGGCTGCATTTCTGGGTCCCTGCCTTGTTTTGAAAAAGTTTTGTTGTGGTGATGTCTGGTGAGACCTGCTTCCGGGGCCTTGGTTGGCAGCGATTTCCCTGTTTGCTTTGGGGGTCAGGCAGGCACAGTGGATTTGGGGGCTGAAATGTGGGGCAGGGGGAAGAGAGAGGGTTTGTGTCTCTTAAAAAAAGCCAACACGTTGGGAAAAACACAGATAGTGGAGTCCTTTGGCATGGAGGAAGGGCCAGGCTGGAGTTGACTGGACACTGTAGAGCAGGGAAACGGCAGGTCTAATATGATGTATTGGGCCTGTAACCCTTCATATATTAACACCTAGTTCTTATATAGTGTGGCACTTCCCATATTATCCCATAACCCAGAGCGCTTCTGTCCCGCCAACCAGGGCAGAAATACAGTGACAGAGTAAATGAAATCCTTCAAACCGGAAGTGTTTTGTTGTTATGTGCTTGAGACTTGAGGAACTTAATCTGTTTAGCCTAACAAAGAGAAGGGCTGATTTGATCGGTCTGTGAGCACTACATGGGGAACAGAAATTTGATAATGGGCTGTTCGGTCTAGCAGACAGAGATCTCACAACTTGGAAGTTGAAGCTACACAAATTCAGACTAGAAATAAAGTGTTTCTGTTTTAACAGCGAGGGGAATTAATACACTAGGACAACTTCCCAAGTGCTATGGTGGATTCTCCATCACAGGCAACTTTTAAACTAAATTGGATCTTTTTTCTAAGAGATCTGCTCTAGTTCAGTTGGGAATTAATTCGGGGCTGGCCTATGGCCTGTTATACCAGAGTTCAGACTAGATGATCACAGTGGTCCTTTCTGGCGTTAGAATCAGCAAATCTTTGTATTGCAGTAGCATGTAGGAGCCCCAGTCATGGCCCAGGACCCCTTGTGCTGGGTGCTGTACAGACCCAGAACAGAAAGATGGTCCCTGCCCCAACAAGCTGACAATTCCTACTGAATTAACACCGTGAGTGGCTCATGTGCTGGGTGCATCCCCCAGATGTGTAGCTCACTAGAACTGTACCACCTACAGACTCCAGTCAAGATTCTCTTCTGCCTAGGTACTTTTCATGTAGACGTACTCGGTGTTGCTTTCCTTAGAAATTCCGGGGTGGCGGAGCGGGGAGGTTTGGGCAGCTGGGCCTGTAGGCTCTGGAGAAGGGTTTGCGGCTGAGCCAGCCACCCATTTTGGCTGAATGGCTCAACATGAAACAGCTGATTGTGTGGCTGTTTTGGGACAGTCATCATTAGGTTTCAAAGTTAACGTGGTGATTGTGTGGGGTGAGGGCAAGAGCATGTTGGTGACCGTCTGTTTTTAAAGGGCTATTTTTTCACAACCCAGAGACTAGAAAGGATGGATATATCTGTATAACAAACTCAGTTTTCCACACCCCCATCAATTCAGGCTATCCCCACCCCCAGTTCTCTGCTCCTCTCTGGCCCTTGTAGGCTCAGAAGTGGGGAACTACAACAAGCCCTAGAGGTCACCAGTCCTCATGTCAGGGCTTCCGTTGAGGGGTTGAGAAGGAATTTCTCTCCACCCCACACAGCCGCCTTGAGGAGGTGGGGTACTGGGCTGATGGAGCCCACTGGTTTGACCTGGTACAGCTCAGCCTAACACTTCCAAGTGCCTTAAATAGCCAGACCCTGCCACCAAAACCAGAAGCCCAAATACCACTGGGGCAAGACCTTAGGGTTAAAACAAAGAACACCACCTTTTCCTGCTGCTAATAGTTATTTATTCGGTGTATTGCGGTAGCACCTAGACTCTTTTCCCCCTCCCCACCCCCCTGACTGAGGTCAGGGGATGGTGCTGCCTAGACTTCTGGCTGAGACACAGCGCCCCCAGTTGTGCTGGGCATGGCCCAGACACACAGCAAGGGACAGGCCCTGCACGAAGAGCTTCCAAACCTTGTCTAAGGTAAAAGGTTTTGCCAGATATGTTGGCAGAACCCACAACGCGGCCAACATCTTTGCTGGTATACCCTGCCTAGCGTAGACAGGGTGTTGAAAGACACGGGGTGAGAGGGGAAACTGAGGCACGGAGAGGGAAAGGGACTTGCCTAAAGTTGGTGGCAGACCTGGGAATAGAACCCAGGTGTCCTGAGTCCCAGTCCAGTGCCCTAGCCACTCACCCAGGGATTGTCTTTCAGTGTGTGTCTGTGCAGCACCAGACATGGTGGGGGGCTGTGTGGCTCCTGGCATCACAAGGTGTTCCCAGTCTTGGCCAGGGCCTCTAGACATTTCTGTAATACGAGTAATAATAATGGAACAGGTTATTCTGTTCCTGCTCTCTGTTATACACCCAGTCCTAGGCTCTGATTCAGCAGAGTGCTTGTGTGTAATTCTATCCAGCATGAGAATTAGTATTGCTGTGTATTTCATATGTGCTGGTAGCACCAGGAGCCCCAGTCCCACAGCAGAACTCCATTGCGCTAGGCGCTGTACAAAGAGAACAAAGATATTCCCTGCCCCAGTGAGCTGGCTGGGAGTTACTGCAATGACTTACTTTGAACTCAGGCTACTTGCAAGGCTGGATCAGGCCTGAAGTCCTTCTAGCCCCATCGCTGACCATGGCTGTGAAACCAGCTGCTTCAGAGGCAGGCACAAGACGCCCCCATGGGAGCAGCTGAGGGGGAATAATCTGGCCCCCTTCAGTAGTCTCCTCCCAACTCTGTCCTCCCAACTTTGACCAAACAGAGAGCAGCTTCATCGCTCTGGCAGGAGGTTTGATGTTCCGTCCAAAGCTCTGTCTGATTTTACAGCCTCCGCCCTTCCAACTCCATGTAGTCTTGTTCTCCAAAGAAATGGCCAGTCCCTTCTGGATTCCTGCTCGGCCCCCAGCCTCAGTTGCATCCTGTGGCAATGGGTTCTGCAGGTGAACGGTGCCGTGTGTGGAAATCCTTTCCTCTGATCAGTTCTGAATTTGTTGCCTTCTGATCTCACCCAGGACTCGATTCAGGGCATGCCTATGGCCTGTGTGAGACAGGAGGTCAGCCTATCTCAGGGGGCCCTTCCGGCCTTAGAATCTATGACTGTCCTAGTGCTGCCAGAAAGCAAGGGATGCTCCCAATCTCCTCTTTACCATCCTCAGCTCAGATCCAAGGTGAGCAGTCCCCACTGCTCTAGGCCTCTCGGCCTACTAGGAGCCCCCTGTGATTTTGGGCCCTGTGAGAGGTGGCGTGCCCAGTGCGCTGTGTGACTGCACCATTGGTTTATATGCTGGCATTGGAAGACCCTTCATCCCGCTCTTAGGGAGTTGTGTAATGTGTTTGCTTTTTGACTGCTGCTTTTAATCAATTCGTCCCATCAGACGCCTCAACCCTTGGTCTAATGCACTTATTCAATATTATTTGTATTATGGTTGTAACTCAAGGTTCCAACTGAGATCACGGTCCCCCCCATGTGCACAGCTGAGGGGGGGTGAGAGGGGCCATCCCGTTGTGCCAGGCACAGACACACAGTGAGACGGTCCCTGCCCTGGAGGAGCTCACAGTCTGAATAGACGAAGGGTGGATGGGGAGTCAGAGGCACCAAGAGGGGAAAAGACTTGCCCAAGGTCATGCAGCAGCTCAGTTGCAGATCTGGGAATAGAACTCGGGAGTCCTGACGCTCAGGCCAGTGCCCCTATCCACTGGACCACGCTGCCTCTTAATTCTTGTCAGTCATGTATCATAGTAGATTTCAAGGCCAGAAGGGACATTGTTGTGATCATCCAGTCTGACCACCTGCATAACCCAGGCCAGAGAACCATTCCCAGCCATTCCTGCCTCCAGCCCAGATCTGGTGGTTGAGCTAGAACTCTGGTTTTAGAGTGACGTGTGAGCTGGATTGAAAGACCCCAAGTAATAGACACTCCACCCAGTCCTGGAGTCAGCTGTTCTAATGGTTAATCCCCCTTCCTGTTAAAAATTTGCAACTTATTTCTGGTCTGAATTTGTCAAGCTTCAGCTCCAGGCCATTGGGTCTTGTTCTGTCTTTGGTCTGCTGATTTAATGAGTCCTCTGCTCTCTGAAATCTCCTCCACATAGAGGTGCTTAAAGCCCAGGTTTGAATCAGTTCTTATACTTTGCTTGGAGAAGCTAAACAGATGGTGCTCTCAAGTCCTTTGCTGTGGGGCAGCTTTCTAGACTCAGCCTGATCTATCTCTGTAGTTTCATACTGAGTGGATAACATTCAATGATTTTATTTAAAAAAAAAACAAAAAACATTTTTTTTTATTTTAATTTTTATTTAAATTATACGTTTTCTTTTTCAAAATAAACCTGGTTAAATGAAATCTGAATTTAATACAAAATATGTAAAACCTATACATTTATTATAATCTTTTAAAATGTTATTAAATAAAAATATGCTGAATCCATGAGATTCTATTAAAAAAAACCCTTTGAGTTCAAGGCTGCCTTTCTGTATAAAGAAAGAATCAGGGGGAAACATCTAACTTTTAAGTTCAGGCTTTAGAAATATGGCACAATACGTCAGCCTAAGTAATATGGGAGCCTGTCTCATTTTAAAGAGACTTAGGTGAGACTAGGAATTTAAACCCCAGTCTCTTTCACTTAGGCATTTTTGAAAATGTTCCCAGGCTGACCTGAAACAATCAGTTTAATTCACTGAGTTTCTTTAATTTAGTTGTAAGCGTGAAACATGTTTTGATAAGAGAAGTTTATGGAT